CCCCGATTAGCCAGATGGCTTAGAGATGAGAAAACTACTTGAGAGGAAGGACAGGAAAGGTTCCCTGGATCAGACATCTTTAACCTCCTTTCCTGTCGTTAAGATGTTCTCTATAAATGCTTCACTCCCAGCCTATGAAGCCTTCAGATAACCAGTGGGCCACACTTCAACCTCTGGCTGAGGAAAGACAGCAAAAGATAGCTGCACGTTGCAAGAGGCAGGCTCTCTGCAGGTCTGGCCTTACAAGGGGTTATAGTGTTAAGACATGCTGGCTCCTCTTCAGGCAGGAGGAGCAAAACTGACCGTTTCTGACCTCAACTGGGTCAGACCTTGGTCTGGTCTCAACAGAAGCGTTCCTAAGATATGTCCAGGGATTAACAGATCTTAATACATTCCTGCCGACACCTTCTCGCCTCCTATTTTGCCATTTTCCACTGTTAACTGGGATGCAACTGTAATGGTTTTTGGCTGCTACACCTCAATCAAGTGGAGAGACGAGCCACTGCCTCACGTCCCGCGAGCGCTTGGAACAGCAGCTTTCAAGAGACGTTCAGCGTGGGAGGGCAGCCCTACGATTCACAAAATAACGGGCTGCGGGCCCGTCACAGGTTCTCTCAACCTGGCCGCGAGTGTCTGCGTGTGATCCAGGAGATACTGCACCGGCTCCTAGTTCCTGGACCACTACAATGTTTTATCCGTGCCAAAGGCCTCCAGCCATTCAATCTTTCCCAGTGCCTAACACACAAGATCCTGGATCAGTCTGATTGCTGCATCTTCCACCTACTCAACTTGGCTGTGCTGGGATCACTCTGACCACTTACCTGCCAGAGCTGCTTTCCTGTTCCCTTGCGTCTGCTGCTCCGTCCGCCTGGTAGAGAATTCGACTCGGATGAGATCAGGCTTTTGGTAAGTTTTTGGCTCCCGGAGCACTGCCCAGTACAGGAGCAGAGCAGAGCTGTGCAGTGCCTTGGAGAGCTCTCTGCAAAGGGGAAGGGAGTCAAAAGTGCTGTCTCCTTCCAACCACCAGCATGGCTGAAAGGGGATGTGAATGGGGCAGACCCACACAGCTGTCCTGTGACTGGTGGTAGTCTGGCCTAACATAGGATCATAGGACAGTAGGGCTGGAAGGGACATCTGGAGGTCCTCTGGTCCAGGCCCCAGCTCAAGGCTTCCCCAACTAAACCAGGCCATACTAGTCCTTGCATCACCTATTTAAAACTACACCGAGCCCACTGCACAACTACGAGACACTAAAAGTGCCCTAACCTGCCACAGATGAAGCAGAGGGATGAGGGCTGTCAGTGTCCCACTGCTGCAAGGGTTGCTACAAAGCATTCAAGAGATCCTTCTTGCTGAGTATCTTCTAGCAGGTGGCTGGAAAAGTTGGGTAGATAGAAGATGCAGCGGTTACACTGATCTGGGATCTGGAGCATGGGAAAAGGAAGAGGGTCATGTCCCCTGCTGCAGAGGAAGCCATGCACTTATTCCCTGTATATACACACAACAAAGAGGAGCAGACCAGCAAGCTAGTGGCAACGGAAACCAGTCCCAGCTCCTCCACTCCCAGGTGACACCAGGCTTAAGTCAGTGCTGTCACTGGGGTGCCAGCTATACCCCCAACAGGTACCGAGCAGGTGTGGAGAGAAGCATCCAAAGGCAGTGAAATGCTTAAGACTTTACAGGGGTCTGCAGGACAGCTTTCTCCTTTAGCGATACGGGAAGGGCAACTTGGCTCTATGCTACAAGCTTGCAGCATGTTTTAACAACAAGCTGTTTCTCTGCACCTTCATCCACGTGCGCCCAACGCTTGGAAAAAAAGCCAGCTGGCAACACGCCGAAAGGAAGCTAAGACCTCTCCTATTCATCTGAATGGAAAGCATGCAATAAGGAAAGGGCTCATAAAAATGGGTCTGAAAAAGATATTCACCCAGGCACTGCAGTCAGCTGATTGCAGCAAGTTTCTGATGGGATCCTCAGGATCCTCACATTTAGCCACAGGGAAGGACAGAAATTCAGGGGCTGCTTGGCCCCTGGCAAGGCCAGGGCTGGCGCGCGCACACACAGAGCCATTTAAGTAGCTGCAAATGGACAGTCACATGCTGCACTCCCAGCGAGGGACTGCAGTAATTGAGTATTTCCTGCCTCCGCTGTTTCTACCCTGCTCTTAATCCAAAGGGGTAGAAAATAATCCCTTCCCCTCAACTCAAATAAGAGCCGCACAAAAGCGCACGTCAAATCTCCCAACGGCTGCTTTGAACTGACATCACGGGAAGGGTCTTTGGCACATTTCTCCTTCAAAGCTTCTTATTAAAATGTTAATTAATCCTTTGAACACCTCCAGGCCACAGGCATTCGTTATGATTATGATTAAACAGGGGAAAGTGCAGCAGAAAGGAGGCGGGATCTGCCCAAGGTCACAAAAAGCAGCGTTTGGGAGTGTCAGGTCTAGATGAAGGTTCAGCGCCGCCGGCCTTGGAAAGCCTCGTCTGAACTAGACGCTTGAGTTAAGTGAACTAAAATTGGTTCGGGAAGCATCTGAGTTCAGCCGGTGCAACCTCCCAATGAGCAAACTTGGAGATTCGCACGCTGCCAGTGCAGCAGGAGCAGCATTATCCTCTAGCCTGGGATGCTCAACCCCTCGCCCGTGGACCAAATCCAGCCCACGGAGCAGTGGCATCCAGCCCATAAGGCTGCCATGGGTCAGGAAATATGGCAGCAGTGGCAATTAATAACGCC